GGTAACCCCTCAGCGATCACCATTGTTATGGGGTGCTGCTTTTGGGGAGCCCCTGTGATGCGGTTTTGTGAGACAGGCGCTGGTGTCATGGTGGCGGCTTTGAGTCACTACATCCTTCTAGATCCTTCCCCTGTCTGTGAAGGCACCCAGAAGGACTGCACATCTGACACAGAGAGCATGAGGTGGAAAGAAATATATGGGTGGGGTGAAGGACTAGCCCAGTGCAGTTAAAGCAATCTGAACTGCATTCAGCTACCCAGTAACTGGTTTTACAACTTTTACCTATGTGTCCAAACCCTTTGTGTGTGTGTGTTTGTGTGTATTTGTTTGAGATGCACACATAGGTGATGTATGAAAGATGATAATTGTTATGAGAGTGCGTTATTCTGTTTGTGTGTGTGCGTCTCTGTGTGTGGTTATGTGCCTGTTTCTTTATGAGTGTGTGTGTGTGTGTGTGTGAAAGTCTCATTTGTCTGTCTGTGTGGTCATGTGTGCATTTGTTTATGTGTTATTGTTATTTGTTTATGTTTATTGTTATGTGTCATAGCGTTTGTGTGTGTGGGTAACTTGATAATAGAACTGCCACCTGGACTCTCATAGAGCAGCAGTGTTGTAACTGATCTCTGATTTGAGGTGGTTTTTGGGTATGTGAGGGTGCAACGCTGCTCTTTCAGAGCTGGTCTGTGGGCACATTCGGCCTCAGCGCTAATGTGTTAATCCCGTACTCGCTGCTCTCTGTGACCATGTGACCTGCCTCCCACCCCTCCACACTCTACAGGGGTCGGGCCGCTAAACGAATTATCATTGATTAAAAGTGCTGCAACTGTGTCTGTATCCTGCTAAATGAGCTTGAAAGTGTCTGCTCCACGGTACAGAGCTCTCTAACCCCCTCCCCACCCCCTGCCTCATCAGAGCAGTGAAAGGCTGTGACTGAATCTCTTATAGATTAATATTCAAAATGCATGTTTCAGCTGCAGCAGTGCTGTTTAAGGGCTCTCTCCCTCTCTTTCCTTCTCCTTCTTTTTCCCTCTCTCCCTCTCTGTCTCCCTTCCTTTCTCTCTCCCTCTCTTCTTTCTCTTTTCCTTATCTTTCCCTCTTGCTGTCTCTCTTTCTCTTTCACTTTCTCCCTCTCCCCCCTTTCCCTTTCTATTCTCTCTCTCCCTCCTTCTCTCTCTCTCTCTCTTGCTCCCCCTCTCTCCCGCTCTTTCCCTCCCTCTCTCTCTCCCGCTCTTTCCCTCCCTCTCTCTCTCTCTCCCGCTCTCTCTCTCAATCCCTCTCTGTCTCTCTCTCCCTCTCCCTCTCTCCCTCTTTCTCTGTCTCCCTCTCTCCCTCTCCTTCTCTCTCCCTCTCTCTCTCCCCCCCTTTCTCCCTCTTTCCCTCTCTCTCTTGCTCCCTCTGTGTCTGCCCCTCTCCCTCTCTCTCTCAGGAGTGGGAATGTTAGAGGAGCAGTTAATAGAGAGATAAGTGCTGTGATTACAGCCCCTGTCTTGGGTGGAGGTGACAGACAGATAGAGACAGGTCTCACACTGGATGCTGTTTCTAAATGGCAGTGGTGAGGGGGGGCGGGGGCAGGGGGTCAGGGCGGGGTGTGATGGGGGAATACATAGGAGCACCAGCCAAACCCGCTCCCACACCCCCCACCCCTGCCCCCTCCCGCCTTCATCAGAGAGCTGTGTTTATATAGGGACAGCCGTGTGCTCGTTCTCCATGGAAACGGCGCATTCCGCCACCCGCTGCATTCCAGATTCCGTTCCAGATGGGGCGAGGGTGGGGGTGTGTGAGGATGGGTCCAGAACAGCCCCCGTTCACACCCCCCACCCCCATGAATATCACACCCCCTCTTGCGTCGATAAGGAACACAGTGTCCATGTATGCTGACAGCCGCTGCAAAATCACAGCATACGCTAATGTCTCCCCTCTGTCAGCTCTTTCACTGAGGGGTTTGCAAGGGTTAAATTTGCCTCACTGTGGAATGTTGTAGAAGGAGGTGTATAATATTTAGGCTTGTAATAGATGTATTAAAAATTATAATAGCGTTCAGGTCGGTTCTCTTCAGCTTGCTGGAGACCCTACTGGAGTCAAGAGCAGCAGGTCGTAAGTTTGAATCCCTGCTTGCTGGTTTGGGTGGGGAGCTGTCATTCTTTGGCAGGGGCGTGGCAGCTGGAAAGGGGCAGGGTGGGGGCGGGGAGTTCTGTTAGAGTGGGGCTCAGTGAGGTATGCAGGGGGTAACTTGCATTGATCACAGTAGTGGTAGCAGCTGGTTTTGGGGCTCTGCAAAATTAAAACTTTGCAAATTGTGTAAGGTGGGTCAAAGCTTTGCCCATGGGCAACATTTATTCCTGCAATACCAGAGGAAAAAGGGCCGTAGTGGACTCTGTTTTAGTATGGGAGTATAATGGTGGTCAGACCTTTGTGTGCAGCGGGGCTTTGAACACAATGATGTGGCTGCATTTGCATGCATGTGTATGTACCTGCATGTGTGTGATTTGTATGTCTGTGACTGCATTGTTTGTGACTGTACATGTATGTGCAAGTGTGTGTATGCAGGGGGGTTGTTGTGAGTCTGTGTGGGTTGCTGTGTGTGTGTGTGTGTGTGTGTGTGTGTGTGTGTGTGTGTGTGTGTGGGGGTTGCTGTGTATGTGTGCACGCGTGTGTGTGGGTTGCTGTGTGTGTGTGTGTGTGTGAGTCTGTGCGGGTTGCTGTGTGTGTGTGTGTGTGTGTGTGTGTGTGTGTGTGTGTGCACGCGTGTGTGTGGGTGTGTGTACAGTGAGTGGGTGGTGTGTTGGGCTGCTTCTGTAATGCTTAGTGCCAAGGCAGTAATCAAATGTATTGTAATGAACATATTTACTCAGAGCTGTGTGATGACTAATCTGAGCAATTGTACAGTCATTCTGGGTTTATACTACATCTAGCATCAGTTCAAGGGTAGCTCAAGGACAACAGCAAGAGATAACAGAAACAGGATGACGGGAGCGGCTCTCAGTGAAACTAATTCTCTGATGTTCGGCACACCCCTCTGGCTGTGCAAGATTGTAGGATCCAGCGTCGACCTTTGCTCTGATGAAATGTAATTCTTCATCCTCATGATAATATACTGCTGTGATACATGTTTGTTTGTCCAACCTGGAGGCACAATTGCAGACAGGGTATTAATATGCATATCACATCTAACTTTCGGCCAATTGGGAGGCGAGGAGTAGCAGTGTAATTAGTAATGAGACAATGAGGCTTCACGAGTTCTGCTGTGTGCTGTTGGTCACTGACTACAATGAGCCCATCAATAGACGTTGTTCTCCGTATTAAAACACAATGATTGGCTCCCATGAGTGAGTCACTGCTAACAAGGGTAAGCTCCATCCATTGTGGGAGTCAAGAAAGTTCCCTTTATTTTCTGGGATCAGCTGCAAGTTATTGCCTCGTAACATCATGGAAACGTTTTCCTAATGTTGTCCCACAGACGTACCAATTGGTGGTCGGTTTTATTACTAATGAACTACAAATGACCCTCAAGGTCAAACTAAATGGGTTGTAAATGAATGTGTTTAAAAATGTAATGTTCTTTTTTATAATAGAAAGGAATATCTAACAAAAGCAAACATTAGTTCTCAAAAATATCTCACATTAAATTAATTAGTCATCTTAAGACAGGAGATTTTTAAAAGAATAAGACTCAGACTGTATTCTTGAGAATGTTATGCGTTATTTTAAGTATAAACATTATGAAATAAATATTCTTGCAGCACACGATCAGAAATGTTAGGTCATTCTTTAGATTTATCTCCACAGTTTTTTACTCCATGAATGAATGAAGAGGAATACATTTCTTAACAATACATTTTTCTGTCACAAGTGATCAAGTGACCAAGTGATCAAGTGTGTGTGTCTGTGTCTGTGTGTGTGTGTGTGTCTGTGCATGCAGATGTGTGTGTGTGTGTGTGCACGTGCGTGTTTCCCTCACCAGTGGTTTTGAACTGAAACAATTGTAGCTAGTTAAACTAGGTCATTTTTAAAAAGCTATAACTGATTAATTACTCCCCAATTAAGTCAGCCTCTTGCTTAATGTGTCACTCTTTAACGAATCCGTCATGGTCCGTGTGCAGGCCATTGTGACGGGTGACGCCGCTGATAACTCCGCTAATGTCAGGGTTGATGTGTTTATTACTGTCCTGCGTGGCTGTCCACGCCCCCTCGGTGGCCAGTTCAGATAGAGAGCACCGGGGACTCCACAGCCCGGCAGGGTGCTGGTTCGAATCCCACAGCTGGGGAACAACGGAATAATGGTGTAAGTGGGTAATGTGATCAGAGAGGAAGAGAGTGCGTCGCGTGGGATTGGTCTGGGCCGTTTTGGGGTCTCGTGGCATTGGGCCAATGAGAGAAGCATACTCTGCCTACTCTGTGGGAAATCGGATGGTGGGGGCAGCTGTTTGCGGGGGGGCTGTATTCTCAAGAGTCTTGTTTTAAAAAGGAAGAAAATGTAGTCACTTGGATGGATGCTTGTAGTTTCATCAAGGTCTTGAAACTTCAGTCTGCCACTATGAGGAGAGGAAAGCCATGCAAGCTGTGAAAATTGTCTGGAATTACAAAGTGAACTAGTTAAGTGGAAGATCTCTCAAACATGAGAGAGAGAAAGAGAGAGGGAGGAAGGTGTCCTTCGACTTTTAAAGCTCCTTATTCAACAGCTGAAAAGAGCTCAAACGAAAGAGCACAGTCAGAACTAACAAGCTCCTGATGCATTCCAACAGGCTCCCATCAGTGAAACCCTGATGTCAAACCAGGAACTTCCTTATTATCCTTGCACATTGCCCAGAGAGAGAGAAGGAGAGATAGAGGAGAATAGAATGGTGTTCTGTATGATCATAGGGCATGTATACTTATAAGGGAAATGTCTTAATGTGATAACATGGGTTACACTTTTTTTACATGTTATCCATTTATACAGCTGCATATTTACTGAGGCAAGTTTGGGGCGAAGTTCCTTGCCGAAGAGTAGAGCAGCAGCGCCCCAGCGGGGAATTGAACCAGCAACCTTTCAGTTGCAAACCCTGCTCCTTACCACTATGCTACACTGGTGTCCAGTTGGGTTGAAGGTTGTATAGGTTTACTTTGAGCGGTCATATATTCTGCGTATCGATTTTTGTTTTGTAAAGGTGTGTCATGCTCATCAAGCTGAATTCAGCTGATAAAGAAGGGAGAGAGAGAAAGAGAGGAAACAGCTCTCTGTGCAGTACAGTCAGAGAGGCTGAGAGGACACTGCAGCCAGCAGAGCGAAGCCAGAACATTATAACAGCTCCCATTAATCTGGAGATCTCCAGCAACCTCCCTGTTGAAGGGATTTAGAGGTTTCCACCCCCACAGAGAGACTCGCCGATCAGAGATTCAGGGCTCCGCCGCCAGCAGCCAACTCTCCAGAGAGGAGCGTCAGCAGGGGGTACAGGCTGTATTTGGGAAGGGAAGGGGGAGAGTGGAGTGCTGGCTGGACTATGTAGAATAACATCCCACTCTGCCACCACAACCACAGCAACAGATGTTGAACGCAAACCACATTTCCACTATTGCAGAAATGACAGATTGACTTCCCTTTCTGGCACAAGATCTGCCTGGAAATGTGGCTGGCTGTGTGACTTCAGACTCTGAAAGAGACTCAAAGGGACTGACAGATCTGTGCTACACACTGTCTGAGCGATGATGCAAGCCTTCTTTTCACTGTGACATCACAATGTCAGAACTCTGCAGGCATAAGTCGTCAAATGATTGCAACATGTCATCACATGTCTGAATCAGAGGCAAACCTAGTGATGATGTCACGTGTAGTCTTCACTATGATTGATTGTGACGCGGCAAATGTGTTTGTGTGAAAGCGGGTGTAGCATGGGTGTGCATCATCAAAGGCACATGGATGGCACGCACTTGAGTGACAAGAGTGGCACCTGTCTTCCTTCAAGCGGCACATCGGGTGGCTCTCCAGATGCATCATGGGTAATGTTTTATAAGAGAGACGGGCCGTGCTCCAGAGAACGTGTGTGAGAACAGGAGCAGCTGTTTCTGAGAGGCGAGAAGTGTTTGGGCGTGTGTGTGTGTGTGTGTGCGTGTGCGCATATGCGAGGGGTGGGGGAGGGAGGTGTGAAGGGTTTGGGGTGATGGGAGTGTGGTGTGCTCCTATATGAAGCCCCATCTGGCATGTGAGGAGGCCTTATCAGTGAATCCCTGGACAGTCCTCCAATGGCCACTCACTGGCAGCCATTACACTGTGGAGTTAATCAGACTGCTCTCCACTCAATAGTCCTGCAGCTGGAAAGCATATGTCCCCCCCGCCTCTGGGACCAAATCGGGGGGGTCAGGTTTCTTAATGGGGTGAATCACCCTGGCAGTGATGGGGAACGGGGGGCATCTGATGTAAATGTAGAAATCGGCTGGAATTTCTGAGCCCCATTGTCATCACTGGAAATTGCCGTGTGTATTGCTCCCACAGGGGGGTCATGGGTGTGTGTGTGTGTGTGTGTGTGTGTGTGTGTGTGTGTGTGTGTGTGTGTGTGTGTGTGTGAGAACATGTGAGGGTAGTGTGTGCGTGTATATTTTTTAAAATTTAGTGAATGCAGCTTGGTGTTTGAACAGTGCCTGTCCTTTCAGATGAGGGTGGAGCTAACACGCTGCCCTCTCCTGCTGTTCGTAGGTCCTGTCGTCCTGCTTCCTGCTTCAGGTGCTGGAGTTCAACAGAGTACATACATGTTTCTCCCTTCCCATTCTCACAAGAACAAACCTCACCGAGGCTACTGTAGCCAGTGCCCTGCTCTGTCCTGTTCTGTGGCATTGAGCTGTTGGAATCTGGGATCCATCTGCCAGCTTGAAGGTCTTTGTAGCAGGGTTTACCTGACATATGGGGTGATTGATCAATAATCGTTCACTGGAACCCAGAAGCACTAAAGTCAGAGGACTGCATTATCCCCACAATGAGGAGAGCAGGTCTGCCAGTCAATCAATGAATGTCCTGGTAATGAATCAATCCAGCTGATTCATGTTTAATATTCTGTAGCATCCTGGTAATGAATCAATCCAGCTGATTCATGTTTAATACTCTGCAATGTCCTGGCAATGAATCAATCCAGCTGATACACGTTTAATACTGTGTAGTGCCCTGGTTAAAGAATCGATCCAGCTGATTCATGTTTAATACTCTGTAGTGCCCTGGCAATGAATCTGTATATTGCTAGGCTTGACCAAATTGCTGAGTGAATTACTGAAGAAGACCCCTGTACCTCTGTAGCATCACCTGAAATTGCCAAGAATCCCTGTGTTTAAGCCAGTTGGTTCAAACAGCTTGACAGAGCAGTTATTTATTCTTTGATATACATGCAAAAACACAGGACATTGTAACAGTGAAAGAAACCCACTGTAAGTGATATATGGTAGAGAGAGGCTGCTTATGTGATCTGCACTGAGAGCAAAGATATTTCACCGCGTTGTTAAAGGACCGGGCGCTGGAGGATGCAGAAGATTGCTTCGGTTATAAATTGCGCTTGTTCCCTTTTGTTCTCGGGAGTGAGGGACACGTACATGGGCATGGTTGTACGAGGACTGCAAATTGCAGGTCTGACAGGGGAGAAAGCTAAGCAGCTTTCAGGGCTGAGCTCTGTCTGCGCAGTAATGGGAGGCATGCCGGTCTGCAAGAGAGGATGCTTCATGCACCCCTGAACACAAGGGAAGCTGACGTTGTTTGCGGAGAGTAAGCATGCATGCCCATGTACAGGGCCCAATTATTCTTTGACACAAAATATGACATGCACACAACGTCCCAACATCCTTTTCACATCAGAACAAATGGGTTTGTGCATGGTGTACATAATGTTCCCTTGTGGATCCTAATGAAGTAGTGAATAAATATAAATACCAATAAAGCATTGATGTGTGTGTGTGTGTGTGTGTGTGTGTGTGTGAGAGGTGTGTATAGGTTGAGAGTTCCCCTCCTGCAGAGAGTGAGGTTGTAATGGGGGTACCAGACCTCCTCTCATGAATATTTTAGGTCCCGTTGATTCGGGGTGGCTGCTAATAGTCTGTTTATCCCAAGGGCTGTTTTCACGGGGGGCAGTTGAGGTGGGGTTTATTAAAGTGGCCCCCTGGGAGCAGATCCACTGCAGTGCACTCCCACAACATCATCACAACGCTGCATCACTGTCGCATCAACGTTGTCATCTGTACGGACGTAAAGAACCGGTGACGGTCACCAGGAACCGAGCCAGTGGTTTGATGTTCTCCAGGTATCGGTTCTGCTGGTTCTGCCGGTTCTGCCTGGACCCCTCAGCAGGAGAGCAGCAGGTCTCTGCTCAGTGGTGGGAACCCGCACATACAGAGCAGCAGGGCTCTGTGATTGAAACACTCTGACTGATTAAAGGTATAGATCCATCAGAAGGAAAATCCCGATGGCTGTGGCCATGGGCGCGTTACTGCCGGATGGGTCGGGACGCTGTGATTGATCTGGAGTGAAATCCAATACGCCGTCCCATGTGGGCGGACGCACAGCAGGTCCAACAGCGAGCCAAGCAGCTCTGCTTTTCCTGGTTTTGTGATTGCACCCTACCCGGCCCCGGGTTCGAATCCTCTGCTCTTTACCCACAGGCGTAGTCTCAGCTTACTCCATCTGCTGCGTCTTGTTCTGTTGTTGCTATAGGTCAAATAAAGAGTTCAGGGGGCAAGGGTTGCCTCAGTAACCATGTCCCCCCAGAGTGAGGTCATCACCCGAGATGTCCCTCTCTAAAATTGTGGGCCACGGACAGTGTGCCTGGAACACGCCCAGCGACCGTTTTGGAATGATTAATCTCGTTAAGTAATTAAGGGTTTTAGGATGAAAGACGGACCAGAGGCGCACGGCGCCGGGCTAAAAGGCAGCAGAGCATCCCTGCTTCTCTGGATCCGATCTGCTCCCCCCGGTCTCCTCTGTCTCCATCCTCTCCTCTGATTTTATTAGGACGTCACGTGACATAGCCCCTCGTATTTCCTCAACAGGGACACACCGAGGTGACTCAGACACAGCTCGATCAGACAAAAAGAAAATGTTTGCCCTGCTAAAAATGTGCATTTTATTACTCATCCAATCCATTTCTGCAGTCGGTAGTGAAATGAATGAGCGTACAGTAGAGCGTCTTGGCAGGGGAGGTACTCTCGGCGTATTTCTCTGAACAGCGCGAGTAGGCTGCCGTGAAGAAGCCTCTGTTTTTTTTTTGCCACACCAAGCCAGTCTGTCTCGGTTTTGGCCACTGCTGCCGGCAGGCGGTGCCAGGAAAGGGGACTTAATTCCACAACCGGCAGAAATGCAATATGTGTCAGACGGAGAGGCAGTCGGCCTGATAGAGCTGCATGCTCACAGAGCTCCAGATATCACCCATTCCGCCTTCTTTCGCGCTCACTGCACTGTGTATGTAGGGCATGTTTAGTTTGTCTATAAGGGGACCGCGAAATGCTGCCCAAATTCACTGGAAAATACCCAGGAACATCATCTTCGCTCATCTTCGCATTACTGACCTGCTTCGAGGGGCTGGACTTGACTCTGCTAATGAGTTTAATTTGTTGATTAGTTTCAGTGAGTTCTGCCCATGTCTTTGCTGTAGATCAGCTGGACGGATTCCTGCATGATGGATAACGATCAGATTGACAGTTGCCCCCCATATTGGTTAAATAGGGTTTTCTGACATGGGTGACCGCTGTCGTGTGTGTGTGTGTGTGTGAGAGAGAGAGAGAGAGAGAGAGAGAGAGAGAGAGAGAGAGAGAGTTTATCTACCATTACTCTGTCCCGACCATGGAAGTTTGGAGGTTCAGTCCCCAGACACGTTATTCCAAGGACTTTATAAATTATGCCTTACGTCCTGCTGCTTGGCATTCAGCCCTGAAAGCAATGGATTCTGGGTAATGGCCTTGTGTAAAACTGATGTCCCGTCCAAGGGGTGTGCCTGCAAGTCAGTTGCCTGGTGCATCAGAAATTGGGATAAGTCTTGATGGTGTGAATCACCCTGGCCCGTACACAGCATACACAGCTTACCTGTACAACAGGTACAGGTAAGTCATATTCTAAGGAAACTGCT